AAAGAAAGAAAGAAAGAAAGAAAGAAAGAAAGAAAGAAAGAAAGAAAGAAAGAAAGAAAGAAAGAGAAAGAAGATATAAAGAAGTGGCTTCCGATCTTCACAGTAGTTATAAATGCAATTATATTTCAACCTCTGTCTCAAAAGTTACATCATAACTCTCTTCTTTCTATAATCTATCCTGTCTAATCATCAAAACCATAAATAAAGTCTAATGTATGAACTACCCACAAAATAAACTCCAGGAACCAAAATCATTGATTAACTTCAGCAGGGCAAGGAAGTTTCCATTCCTTTCAGAAAATACTTGCATTTGGAATCTAAATTAAATAAGTTTCAGTCCCAGGAGATGAGTTGTTGATCTCAGAAACCATTGGCTGCTCAGTTTTTTTGAAAAAGAGAGACATAATAATTGACATCCTGATGGCACCATCCCATTTATTCTGGTTATTGTTAGCAGGTAGATCACTGGAATAAGTTCTGTGTGATGTAGCAATTGGTCCCTGATTACTATCTTTAATACCTACAATTCAAAAGAATCAGCATCTTTGGAAGCTCATTAAAATAGAAATGTAAAAACTGGCTGCAGTTAAACAGCCTTTTACCAGAGATGCCAAACATTTTTCTATCACTACCTGAAAAAAATGATGATAGAAAAGTTGCCAGTTGCCCCCAGTTGCACGTGTTCCTTGTGGCATGTTAACAATGCACAGCACCGAACGTAGAAATAGCAATAAAAATGATGGGTGGTGCTGAAGCTGTTGCTGGGTACAGTTGCAACTGAGGATTAAATCTGCATCCTCATCTTCTTCCATACCTGTGAAATTGAACGTACCATGAAACAGGGTGTGAATTCAAATTTAAAGGGCCTCGCTTTTGCTTCTTTTCATCTCGTATCAAGACGCAGGCGTTCTCCAAAACTTTCGAACATCCTTGCAGCCTGTCTGTTCCATGCAACGTATAGGACAAGTACTGAACTTAGTCATCCAGCCAAATAAGAGGTCCAAGAGAAGCTTCATAGGTCTCCAGCACTGTGCTTCCTCACACTGCGTAGGCTTTAGGGAGGTAACTTAGCTGATTGGAAGAACCTTTTTCATAAGTACGGCAACACTTCTGCAATGTTTAGAATCCGTACTTCTTATGGCTTTGATTTTCTTTCATATTAAAGCCTTTATAGAGCCTTCAGACTTTTCAATAAACCAAAAAAGGTCACGATCCACAATCTGTGCTTGACTGATGTAAGATTTGTAATCCAGGGATATCCCTAAATTGGCCACCAGAGGGTGATAAAATACCACTTTATCTCTGCTAACTTTCCCAATGCAAATTCCCTATTTGAAGAATTATAGTTTCATTTATCCCTTAAATTTATACTTATCCTTCCAATTCTCCTTCTCTATCTCCTCCTAACTTAGGTTACCAGTGCAGCTGCCTTTCTCAGTTCACTGGGCGAAACTGTGAATCAGAGATCACAGCCTGCTTTCCAAATCCTTGCCACAATGGAGGATCCTGTGACCCCATCGGCAGTGCCTTCATCTGCACCTGTAAGAGTGGATTAACTGGAGTGACGTAAGTAAAGTCATCCTGGGAAGACCTTGTTAGGGTGCCAGAGGTCCTCCGAGGTTTTGGACATAGCATCACTAATTTGCAGCATAATATAGCAAAAAAAAAAGAACTTTGGGGAGCTAATTCCACTGATGATACAAAGTTATGGTAACCGTGAGGTTATACAGTAATAATTGGAGGACACACAATGCTACAGAAGTTAAATCAGTTATTTTTTCAAAGCGTTGGTGAGAAACAGCTATGATTTGCATCTGTCCTCTCACTTTCTCCATGCTGAAATCAAGGTAGCAAGCATAGGATTGGCAGGTAGTCAACCATCCATGGGAACACTGAGATCTGCACTGACCTTCAGACTGAGTTCTTGGACATGTAACTGAAGTCCACCTTAAGCTATTCTGAATTTTCTCTGTCCTTATGTATGGAGGCAGCCACTCCTTGCAGCTTATCACTGAATTATAGCTTTTAAGTGAGATGTTCTTAGACAACCATTGACTGCTTGATCCCACCGAGGCTGGATATTAGATCTTCTCAGACAGGAAAAAATTTAAGAGGGTTTTTTTCCTAGCTGTGCCTTGCTTAAGCAACAAGATCTTTCCGAGCTCTGACATATTTCAATATCCTTAATTGTTCTTCATCTAGATATGTAACCTATCCCATGATTGACTGGCCATCCTGTGTTAGCAATTTCAGACAGGCAGCAGATAGGCAGTTACTGAACTGTATAGTTCAGGTAATTCCTGGGTGTATTGTTCCTTATGGAGTTGTTTTAATTTTATCCCTTCAACCTTAATCTGTATTGAATTATTGGGTTGCATTGAACAAAGGCAAGCATATAGTAAGCCACATTAGAGAGTGGTTTGGTGGTTGAGATTGGACCCAAAAGTAGCAGAACCAAGTTCAAATCTGTCTTCAGTTGCGGAACCTCATGGAGTAACGTTGGGCTTGCCGCTTTCTCAAAGCCTAACCTATTCAACAGGGTACTGGTTGTGAAAAAAATGGAGAGAGTGCTATGTATAGTCTTGAGCTCCTAGAGGAAAGATGATGTATAAATCTAAGGCTTAACTGGAGAAAATATCTCGAACGTAAAGGTAAAGGCATGTAACTGCTGAAATCTCTCATCTACTTTGATTTTCTTTCTCGTAGGTGTGATGAAGATATCAATGAATGTGAAAGAGAGGAATGTGAAAATGGGGGCTCTTGTGTCAATGTATTTGGCTCATTTCTGTGTAACTGCACTCCTGGATATGTGGGCCAGCACTGCGGGCTAAGACCAGTAGTTGTTCCTAATATCCAAGCTGGCCATTCTTATGTGGGCAAAGAAGAATTGATAGGCATCGCTGTTGTTCTTTTCATCATCTTTTTGTTAATAGTCCTCTTCATCGTCTTCCGCAAGAAAGTTTTCCGGAAGAATTATTCTCGGAACAACATCACTTTAGTCCAAGATCCAGCTACTGCCGCTCTGCTTCACAAAAGCAATGGCATTCAGTTCAAAAACATGAGGACCAGTGGGGACAGCCGCAATATCTATCAAGAAGTAGGACCTCCTCAGGTCCCAGTGAGGCCAATGGCCTACACCCCTTGCTTCCAGAGTGAGTCTAGGAACAATTTGGACAAGATAGTTGATGGACATGGAGTGGAACATCAAGAGATGACAACCTTCCATCCTGAATCTCCCCGGATCCTAACAGCAAGGCGGGGTGTTGTAGTGTGCAGTGTGGCTCCCAACTTGCCAGCTGTATCTCCATGCCGTTCTGATTGTGACTCCATCAGGAAGACCTGGGAAAATGGCACTGAAAGTGAGCAACTTCCCCCACCTTTCTAGATTTTTTATTCACATTTCTTTCCCCATTGCCATTTTAGCCTCATAACAATCCTGTGGTTATGACTGGTACAAGGGTTATAACTGACCTGCTTCTATAGAGAAGTGACCATAGCTCAGAAGATCCAAGATTCAGTTCATAGCATCTTCAGATAGGCTTGGAAATATTCCTGCTTAAAAACCAACAGAGCCATTGCTGCTTTTAATATATGGGCATTAGCTCACCATAGTATAAAGCATAAGAGAAGAACAATCTAGGTTGGTGCAGCTATTTGAATCTCAAGCCAAAAAGCTTCTTTGGAGGGTCAGTATCTCCTTACAGCAGCTGCATCTTTTCCTGTGTTGGTACTATAGCCAAACAATCCCAGGAAAGATGTAGTTGAATTAATGAGGCATTGAGTACAATGAAATCACAGCACCAAAACAAGAAACCCAACTCATAAAACCAGCATTACCAATATAGCTCACCTAACCTCCAGGCCCAAACGTCTAGGAGTGTTTGGTGCCTTACAAAAAGCTAACAGGGTTGGGGCCATCTGGATTTCTGGAAGGATGCTGTTCCACAGGGCAGGCACTGTCACAACAAGATGATGTTGCTTGATGGAAGGGACTTGGAACATGTCCACCCTATAATACTGATGGGCTGAGCAAAAACAATGGGAGATAAGTGGTCCCACAGATAGCCTGGTCCAATAACATGTAGATAACCAGCACCTTGAGTCATGCTGGGACGCCTACTAGGAGCCAGTGCTGTTCGTGGAACAATGGTTTTAGTTGGGTATAACAGAAAACACCCAAAACGGTCCACATCACTGCATTCTGAACCAGCTGCAGCTTCCAAATGCTTTTCAAGGACAGCCTGGTTACAGTAATCCAAAAGGGAGGTTGTTAAGGCATGAATCACTGTGAGAAAGACCTCCAAGTACATGAATAGGTACAGATGGTATGATAGAGAAGGTGTAGATTGGGTTACCAGCTCAAGTAAAAACAGTCCCAGTCAGTTTTGACACATTTTGACCAGTCTGCTACAAGGATAACTAAAGCCCAGTTTCTCCCCAAGCATGCTCACAGTATTCCATGCAAGCTAGGAACTCTATCCAGAAGCTGTTTGGCAGGCCAGCACCCTGTTGCCTGTATCCCATCAGCTAGGACATACATGCAATGTACTGGCACGTATTCAGGATATGCCTACTACTTCTGTGGCATACCAATATCTACTACTGCTCGTCAGTCATTTAATCAGTGAGCTATCAGCCACAGATTAACTGAATGATCTTTTAATCATGTGACAGCCCTGAGATATAGCCACCCAAGCATATGCACAATGTTATTAATCCAGTAATTGGATTGCATTTAATTATACAGTTCTCAATCATGATAAAATTAGCAATTTGGAATCTTTTGTTTTTGTCCCAAATAACATGTCTTGCCCTATCATTAAAGGAATGTAAATAAATAGGTGTCACACATATATTTGGAATCATCTTCAGATGATATATAAATCAGCCTTTAGACTTCTCCAACTTGTGTCCTGGAACCTGAAGATTCAAGACATCTGGAAGGCACCACGTTGGGAAAAGCTGCCGTACAAAGAAAATAAATTTCTCAATTTGATAAATTTATTTTGTTTTTATATTTGTCACATTTATATAGCCACCCGTCTCACACAAAGTGACTCTGGGCAGCATACAACAAATAAATAAAACAGCAAATAGATTAAAAAAAACAATCCTTATAAAAAGATAAAAAGGAAGTATTAAAATGAAAATATTATCAAAAATTTTAAAATATAGAATATTTTTATTCTAATTTTAATTTAAAATCTATCATTTAAAATAT